GGGGGGGGGGGGGGGGGGTGTATGTTTAAAATTGTATTTGTATGTTTTACTCTTTAAAAAATGTATAACTAATAAAGATTACTTTTAAAAAAATGTTGTGCCTGCTCCGTCACTGGAGCTTTCAAGAAGAGCCTGAATAGACATTTGTCTGATATTATATAGGTCTCCTGCTTGAGAAGGCAGTTGGACTTGAAGACATCCAAAGTCCCTTCCATATATATTAGAATGATATTCTATGTTCTAAGTTGAGTTTTAGTGAAGGGCCCAATTCATTTTCATGGCTTAGAGTGGTCTTGCACTCAAATGTCCTTAAACTCTACAATATTGGAATCTGATAGAATGTGAAAACAATCTACACAATCTATGATTATGCTGGGGATGTGGCTCTGATTTTAACACCCAATCTTATAAGCTTGAATAGTGTAGTCCATTGGTCCTCAACCTTTTCTTCACCACAGACCATCTTTAAAATAACTTTTGGGGCCACGGAATGTGGCCATGAACCCACAAGACTTATCTCAAGGTTTAAATCATAACATTTCTTCAAGCATTCACGGATCCCATCACGTAGAATGGGCCAACCTGCCACAACCAACTCGCTGCAACGAAATCGTCATGGCCAACTTGCTACAACCAACTCGCAGCAGCCAATTCACCATGGCCAACTCACCACTGGACAACTTTCCATGGCCAACTCGCCATGCAACAACTAATTGTGGGACAATTAAACAATTATATTTAATTATTTAAGATATATATTTTTTAGTTGTGCCATTCACATTTCATTCTGTCCGTCCTTTTGCATCCTTTCTTTAATTATTCTATTCCACCATTTCTTTGATAGTAGTGTAACGTTTGTCCCACATTGAATTGTCCTATGGTGAGTTGGCCATGGCGAGTTGGCTGCACTGAATTGTTATAGATCCCTGTGATGACATCATGGACTCCCAGAGATCCACAGATCTCTTATTGAGAACCACTATAGTCCAACAAGATCCCTTTGATTTTTTTTTTTGCAAACATACAAAATACACAAAACAAAACTTAGACATAAACTACATTTACACAATACATTGGAACTTCATGTTCCGTCTTATAGCAGTTTCAAATCGGTACAATTCTCCTTATGTTATTTCCCTTCTAATATATTTCATTTGAGTTTCACCATTTTTAACCCTCTTATTTTTACTTCTCTATCTGATATATTAGGTGATTACCTCTAATAGGTTTAAACTCTCTTGAGTGCATATATACATGGTAATCCACCTTAACTTCTATTTTTGGGCTTTCTTGGCTTCTTTCATTGACCCTTGTTTCTTTCTTCCATCCCTTTGATATTATCGGCCCAGTCAGATCTCTGTGATGTTTCTTTCATGAGCTTCTGTTATTGCTATAATACTGCAGGATCCAATCTGGGTCAGTCACTGGAACCAGAGGTTTTGTCTTCCAAGCTTTCAGACTTGTGCTGGAGCCCATCCTCAGGGAACTCCTCTTTAGTAGAGTGTGTGCCATTCTGTGTGTGGTATTTATAGCATCTGCTGTAAGTGGACTTTTAGATGCTGACTGGGGTGTGTTGATGGCTGTTGAAGGCTGCCCAGCTTTTGCCTTCTAAGTATTTGATAGGCTGGTGGTAAATCCGCACTCCTGTTGACTGCTGAAGAGCCTGTTCCCCAGGCTTCAATCACTTCCCTGGCTGTTTTTCTGCCTGCTCGTCCAACAATCTTAGTAGCTGTAAAATCGAATGTGTGTCCTTGTTCATTTCAGAATGTTTAAATATAATACTCTCTAAATACTTTTTTAAAAAATTGACATGCTAGTGTTCTTGAACTTCAACGAATTAAAGAAAGGCTATTAGAATTTCACCCAAATGAGACGAACGGATTGCACCTACCTGGCTAAAATGCCTGGACCACCTATCCTGATCAAGGATAAAATTGGTCTCTGAGGAGCCCCAATGTCTGTGTATTTCTCCAAATTTGGTGGCACGGGTAGCGTGGTTCGAGAAGGTCTCCCATTTCACAATATCAAAACTGGCACTCAACTCCCCTTTGTCATCCAAATATACTCCTTCTAGAGAGGAGTTGTAGAACTGGGTGTTTCCCAGGAAAGGGTGAAGCTAAAGAGAAGAGAAACCAACCATGTTCAGAGAACAGGAAACCAAGTCTAATAATTCCATTTTCCTGTAAAATCTTAGGTATAATAGAAGGTATACTCTTAGAATGTATTTTTCTAATGGTTTTTTTTAACTTTTAGTTGCTTATTTGCAACAGTTTCTTATTCATGTCTTTAATTGTGTGAGCCATTCAGAGACAGGTGTGTGAGATGGGTGTTTACGTCATTTGAATAAATACAATAAATAAAATCAGCAGCAGCAGCAGCATCTAAGAAAAATAGGTGACCGTGGC